CTTTAGAATAAACCATAGTTTTTTTAATATTTAGAATTAATTTTCGTATCTCATCAAAATGATGTATATTTGTCCATACTTGGCTAATAAATAAAAGCTGTTATTATAAATACATAATTAAAAATATTAAATAAAAATAATTTATAAAATACTAACTTTATTAATTGAATAATATGTGCACAACATGTATTATGTCGAATTTGTTACATTACGGGTTGTAAAATTTTTCTAACAGATTTTTTTATATAAGCTGCTGAATCTGATACAATAAGATATGGATAGGTAAAAGGTATCTCCCATTCAACTAAAGTTTTAAGAACTAATTGACCTACTGTAACATTATTCACTTGGAATATAAAATCAACTGAAATTAATTTTGTTTAACCTTGATAACTAAAAAGTGTATTAATTACACTATGGGTTTTTTTGTCTGTAATTTCATCAATTATAATAGAAACTAGTTTACCACAAAATATTCCACGAAGTTGTTCATAATGTTGCTCAAAAATATTACTTAAATGATGTTTTTGAATACGATCAGCTAAAGGAATAGAACCACCCTCTTTACAATATTTCTTAAAAAAATCTCGAAGCGTATTTATTTTTTCAAATAGAATATCTGCTTCTACTCAGGCTTTTACTAAATCATGAATTATTTGTTTTCTTCCATATGTAACCACCATTGTGGCATGAAGAGACTGTTGATGGTCATTACAATTGGCAGCAACATATGAACGGCAGGAATCTTTGTGAGCTTTTGAATTTATATATGTAGTAATAGTGACCTTATTTTACCAGCCAATACTTATATTAAAAAACTTGCAAAAAAGTTTATTATTATCTGCAAAAAGATCCTCTGAAAATTCTTGTGCCTGTGAACAAGGTGAAATAATTTTTGACTGCAATATTTTTATATGTTTATTTTTTTATGGTGATTTAATCAAATCTATATCAATTTTGATAATTTTGATTGGCCTAAAATCATATGGTTAGATCTACCATAAAAATATTTGAATTTACATGAAAAATTTTCGAATATTTGTATAAGTTTGGAATATGCTCGAATATTTGAATTTACATGGACAAATTTGATACCAAATTTTTACGTGTTGTTATCTCTATTTTATTTTTTAAATTTATTTATATATTTATATATTTTATTATCTTATTTATTCATATCTGTATTATTTTATTATTAATTATTATATATT